CGAAGGATTCATTATCAAGGACGCCACATGCCATTGACCAGTAGGTCCCACCACGCGTTCGTCCCTCTATTTCTTCCAAAGAGAATGTAGGCAGTGCTGCATATACTTCTTCATCATCTACTGCATCTCCGGCACTTGAAAAGCGCGAAGAATCCGCAGGCACATCCACACTCCTTTCGCAAAGTCATTCCAGGCGCAGCAGTCTCCGGTGTCGCTCTCAATCTAAAGATCACGCTTCATTTGTAGAGTCTTCTGAGATCAAACGTGTCAAGAAACCCAAAGAGAGCTTCTTGGCCACGTTCTTTCGCAAGCTCTTCTGCTGCCTCGGAGCCGATTCCCGAGCTCATGACATCGACGTCGATGGTGTGGCAAGCGTTGGGTCGGGTCCTACTTTACTGGCTCACAAGACCGCGGACAATGCTGTGAAGCAATTTTCTGAAAAAGCACCGGTCGCATCGGTAGTTCCGGTCGCATCCTCAGGTCAACCTGCTGTACCTCTTAAGGACTTGCTAGAGACTGCGGGCGCTACCAGTAGGGCCGTACAACTGCCAGGTTCTTCTGTTCCTGGTCAAGTATTAAAGACCTCTGCAAGTCGCCCGTCCGAACATGGTAACGAGTCGGATGATGTTTCGTTTGATGAGTTAAGCGAGGAAGATGAAATGCTGATCAGGAATGGGGGTGCAGGCATTCCCATGGGCTCTGTGAGTGGATCCGTAGTCCAATAGATATATTTCTGACTTGGAATTTACAGGACGGAAAGTCATGGCCACTTCTCCCACCCATCGCGCCTAAACATGTTGGCAAGAAGTGTTTAGTGCTTGACCTGGACCAGACCCTCGTCCATATTAACATCATGGTATATCTTTCACTCCGATTTCATACCTGCTTTTGACGTACCTCGCTGTCAGCCCATACCAGATCCAGACTTTGTCGTTCCTGTCCAAATTGAGCATCAATGGCACAACATGTATGTACAGAAGCGACCAGGAGTAGACGAGTTTCTTCGACAGATGGGTGAGCTGTACGAAGTAGTAGTGTACACCGCAAGTCTGGGTTCCGTGCGTTCATTACAGGTGGCCGGGTTCTAAAATTCAACTAATGTCTTTCTTTTCCTTGTTTCGTCTCATTTAGTATGCAGATCCGGTGATGGACCATCTCGATATCTACAATGCCGTTTCGCATAGGCTTTCGAGTTGGGCCGCAAGAACGTGGATAATTCTGCCAACCTACATATACTGCACCAGTGGGTAGGGCGAAAAGTTTCTGCTGGCATAAGGTGCCGTCCTAACACTTTCTTTTGATACTTAGGGTTCGTCTACTGCTGTGGGGGCAGTCTCTGATATAGACCTCTAGCTCGCAGCATAAATATATTTGTGGGCTATATATATCGATAATTTACTTATGATATCTATGGAACTTGTCATTGCGGTTGCTTTCTGGTCTACTTGTTGAGTTGAGCGCGCTGATGACTACGTCATAAAATTCCCAAAAAGGAAGTTTGGTTCGATTGTCTTTGTACTCTCCTGTACTACTACGGCACGAACAACCTTCAGTCACAGGTTCCTGGCTTGAACATGATGGTAAGCTCAACTGTGCCTCTTGGACGTGCTCATGATCAAGAGTCTAACATGGTTTAGACAACTTACAGTTCTCAGCAACAGATTCTCAATCATGCGGTTGGTATTTGGCCAACGCAACTCCCGCGGTACGCTGAAGCGATGATGCTGTGAGTACCCGTCTGCGAGTAGGATTGCATTCGATTGACTTTTTCTGTGTACAATTAGTGATGATATACCTGAAGATACTTCCGTTGGTAGGAAGAAAACTGATGTCCCTAGGTTAGTTTCTTTTCTTCATAATGGATTCACTTCAACGCCATCAACAGGCCCTTAAAATATGGGAATTGGGAGGAATTTGTCCACCCGTTAGGTGGTACATACTACTATCATAAGGACAAGGTGAGTGCTGCCTAGCTAATCGTATAAGTGATAAACTCGATAAAAAATTTAGAGAACGTATACTTCGGTAAACCTAAGGCGGTACCAGGATCCCCAGAAGATCGATGACTTTGTCGATGCATTACGAGCTGTGACGCAAGAAGATGCATGGATACTGGTTGTTCATCCAACAATGTTTAGAGGAGAAGAAAAGTTCCAATATTACTACGTGGTTCCGGACCAGCGTATCATTGCCTGGATAGAGGAACTAAACGGTTACCTTCTTTTCCGCGACTGTGTCCAGCCAAGCCAATGGGAACATAAGAGTCAGTACCTTATCTTTGAATTTTTCTTTGAGACCGATTGCAATCATGTAGGACTCGAACTCGAGGCTCAGTATTGGTAAGTGGTCAGGATGTGCCAACCTGATTGATCAAAAGACTTCTCACTGGCGGCAGGAAACACTTTGAATTCTTTCCGCAGCAGTCGTCGATGGATGTTTCGGTTGTGAGAAGCGTACGGAGAGAAGTTATTTGCTATATTGGAGGTAAGCTTTATATCACGGTACAATACAATGAGGAACAAAAGATGCTCCTGACTGTATCTGTAAAAGTTGTAAGGTCGCGCGCTGCCTAGTCTGCGTTACTTGAGAAGCAAGTGCGTTCGACCCTATAGGGGAAGTGAGTGCAGCAAGGATCTAGAAGTGTGCGCTTAAGCGAAGCGCGAGAAAGCGCAGGAGCGCGCAAGGTACAAAGGCGCGGGAATGCGCGCGCATATTAGCGCGAAGCGCGGGAAAGTGCGCGCGCGTATGCGGAAATGAGAAACTAAGCTTAAGTAGTGATATAAAGCAAGATAAGAGATATAAGAGTGCAAAATGTAAAGGAATAGCTTTCTACTATATTCTGCTAAGTAGTAAGTGGGTAGTAACTAGTAAGTGAAAAGTAGGAAAAGTAAGGTCCAGTGTAGTATGTACTGCTGGCGCTTATATAGCGCGCCTAAGCGCGCTCATGCGGAGCCGAAGCGCTACCGAGTAGGTATGTAAAAATATATATGAGTGAGAAACTATGATAAAAATAAAGGTGGAACTATGCTAATAAAGGAAATGGAAATATACATACTAGGGAGCTTGGTGGACAGTGGATGGATGCATCTGGATGGCTGGCGCTATAGGGCGCGCAAGCGCGGGAACGCGCGCGCGCGTATACATCGTGAAGCGCGGGAATGGTGCGCGCATGGCGCGCGTTGCGTGGGAAAGCTGCGCCTCATATAGAGATAGCTGCGGGTAGCGCACAGAGTAATGCTATGAGTTCGTGCTGTATACTCCTTGGTGAAAACTACCATATCACGCCATGAGAGGCATGATTCTCTACAACGGGGATGGCAAGAATCGCTTAGCAGGCACAGAAGCAATTACGTTGAGTCAATCCATGGCCGGTTCGATATTCTGGACCCTGGAGCAAATGAAGCAAATCATCGAACATCTAGCCAGTATCGGTTCATACTTGTATCTAGTCCTGCATAGCGTTTTTATAATGAAGAAACAGAAGACCTTGCAGACAACGGGCTCATACATGAAACCAGTATCGTGTTCTGTTGTATGTGAGCCCTGGAAAGCTGAAATCAAGTACTGATATCCCAATTCACAGGTAGAATTTTATACATCTTACGTGCTGTTGCTTCCTCACAAACCCTATCGTCATCAAGTAAATGAACGTTTTAGGGCACCATCAGTATCTTAACCGCCACAACCAACCAGAAGCTCGACTGATTCGGAACCATGCAGTGAAAGAGAAGCGTAGAAACTGTAAACTTCTTTGTTTCATGAGCAATACTGCAGCTACAGTCTTCTGCATGCCGGTCACTGATCGAAAGCGTCAAGAGGACTTCCGTCGATGGTATCGTGAATGGAGTGGAGGTCAAAAACTTTGTCGACAATCTTAGCAATCAGACGAAAAGTCAAATTACCTTGGTAGGCGCTACATCAATGAGGGTATCCACCCACTTATTCACCCACAGGCTGGTGTCTCCATGGCCTTGGACATCGCCATCCTTGCTGTTCCAGGTTTAGGCACAACAGTGACCTCACAGACGTTATGTTCTTGCTCTTTACTTTTCGGTGTTGGCCTGCATTTTTGCTGGCACGATGGTGCAACATTTCGGCGAGAGAATGAGATCCATTGACTTTGCGGTTCGATTCACACTATTTTTTCTCAAGAACAAGCCTGATATTACTGACTGGACAGGTATATTACCTGCAAAAGAGGACGGCGATGCTTGTCGTCATTACAAGCATACCGACTTCTTTTTGTGTATTGAGGTAAGCAAACTTCGATCGTGATTATCTGTGTCACTTATGGTTCGGTAGTGTGACAAGCTCCATCCTCAGATTCTTCGCAGGTGTTGCTTCAGACTTCAAACCATCTACACCTCTAATGATTCCGTGCTTCACTACGCTCGGTGTTGTGGTAGGTTCTTTGATTATATTGGTGATTGCTAGTTACGGTCCTGGCCTGGCCAGGATACGGCCGCAGTAACATCTTGTCCTGAAATTATTCTGCGAGAGTATTGCAAATATAGGATGGATATGTCCCGCGCGAGTCGCATTACGAAGATAGGAGTCACCAACGTTGTCTGCGCCGCGACATCATGCGACACGGTAACACTACGGTATTTTTTCTGTACTTAGGTCCTCAAATTCGTCGTCGTCGTCCGCTAAGAAAGACAGTCAGTTTATTGAAGGGGAGCACACGCCGGACATACATTGAATGGGAGAAGGGGCGTCCCATGGGATCTGACCAGGAGATGTACTGGTTACATTTGGCACATATTCCTGCAAGATTCTGGCACGATAATTTTCTTCCAGCCAACGCAACCTGTATTTTTTGTACAGCTCTTCAAGTCGCACGCAGCCCAACTCTGCACGTCGCAGTCGTTCTTTAACATCAGCCATGGACTCCTCGCGGCTCTCTGTCGTAGGGCAGTCCTTATCAATATTTACCTCTCTGATCTATGATGAGCTTCGAAAATGATTGATGATAGTATCTGACACTTACCTTACGCTGGCGAATTCCTCAGGCTTGGACCCGCCACTTTGTTTGTCAGTGATATCGTGCACTAACTCAATCCTGACACATAGAATTAGCAAGTCCAGTCTTTGACAAGTAAGCCATTAAGTTTACCGGAGGTTCAGATTAATAACATGTCCAGAGATCTGACACGATGATGATTGTTGCATATCCAGGTTCAGCATAGGCAATGGTAGCCTAGCTGCGATATACAAGAAGATGCAAAGTCCAAGAACGCTTTTATCCTTCGGGTCCTTTACTAGCACTTTTTTCGGACCATGGAGCTTATCACCATCGATTTTACGAAAGGTTACTCGGTCCCGACTCCCGGTAGGCCATCCCATCATTGCGGCTACTAATACCTAGCTGTCACTCACCCTGGCCACTGCTTGACTGGCATCAGGCACCCCGCAATTTGACGAAAGGTTGTTCGTTTCCGGCAGGCCATCCTGGCCCATAATCACTGCGGCTACTGCCTAGCCGTCAGCCACCCTGGCCACTGCTTGGCTGCTATCAGGTACGCTGCTTATTGGAATATCACGTGGTGCGCTGCTGGAAATAAAAAGCTAGATTTTAGTATCTGTGATGCTCGAGCTACTTTTGACTCGTGAGCTCTCATGACCACTGAAGAGACCATATCTACCATTCCGAGCAAGCGTGCTACATCGGCCCTTCAAATGGGACCCCGCAAAAAAGCGTAAGCTGCCCTTGTTCGACACAGGTTTTGCAGACTTATTCTGTCGCCCAGCTCTATGTCCGATCCTCTTATATCCCATGGGCGTCACTTCGGTCGAACAGTATTTGCACTATGTAATTATCCTTCTCTACTCACCAACGGCATCCTTAGATTGGAGCAGATGGAAGATACTCCTTTGGAAGACTTCCCTGCTGAGTGAAACACATTGTCTCTATTGACTTACTGTTGTCTGATTTTTTGGTAGGGAACGACGAGAACATCGAGTTTTCGAACAGCTCTTGGACTCTTATCCCGGCCTGTTGGAGCGACTGAAAACCGGGTCTGAGGAGGAAATTATTCATGTTGGAGAGCTGGTGAGTTGTTTTCTGCGTGGCTAGACTTCGTGCTTACAATTCATAGATCGGTAAGGGAGCTGCAGGCGCGAGAGGCGATGATACGAAAACGTTGAAGTCTGCAGTGCTCGATTGGATTTCTCCGAAAGGGGCAGCAATTCAGCCCCCCCTACACAGGAACTCAAAGATCAATCGGGGATTCAACCACGAGCTTACCGGATCACTGCTTTGTCCTGCTGGGTTGGACTGGAAGGACGCAGAGTATGTTTTCGTTTTCTTTTTTCTAGCATCGGTAGTCCTGACAACGTTTTTTGCGCTTGATTCTCAACAGAACGAGAGAGAACCTCCGAAGTGGCGAAATGTTAGTCTGTGGGGACCAATGGCCCATTTTCTTATACGCCCACCATACGTTTGATGCGGATGACCCATGGTGCGGTCTTCTTAGGAGCCGCTTGTTGGTATGTGTGAGTAGGCAAATGTATTTTTACATAGTTCACTACTGATTGCTTGCACATCAGGCCTACAAGCATGTCTTTACGTCTCCAAGTTCGGTCGACAAAGAACCGAAAGCCACACGGTCCGGGAATGCTCGCCTTCATGGCATGAATTCCGTCACCATCGCGTCCATAGCTTACGTTGCAACTCAGGTTCGTCGACGCATGTCTTTCTCGTTGAATAGCTGATAGCTGACATACATGCAACCGAAGGTCCGATTTGCTATAAGTTCTTCTTCGGTGTTCTCAAGGACCGACACAACGACTGACTCAGAAACGTTTTATCATAGCCTCCTCGACCTCTTCGAAGATCCTGAGGAATCTAAGGAGGTTGATGACCTACTCACTTGGTGGAATCGGTATTTTTTATTACTCTTCGTTATATCACTGAGGCTCATGCATTGTTATGTGCCAGCCAAGTGTTTCCCACTTCCTCTGCCGCTAAACGACCTATCAGCGCCAACAGTGCCTTATCGAAAATACGGCTCAAACGTCTTGCGATCAAACAAACTACAGATTCAAACTTAATTTCATCGTAGTCTTTCTAGAAACATGTTTTCGTATAATAAATTACAACTAATATAAGCATAAGCATGTTGTCGTCAACTAGAGCACTCGAGTGACCAGAAGATAGACCTACAGCCAATAATGATCTGAAATAAGCCGAGATGAATTGTAATAGCCCTACCTCTGCAACAAGCTAGCGGATGGTACCACGTCGTCATCGTCCCGCACTCTTGTAACGAACGCAGCTCGGTCCAGAACAAACTAACGTCGCAAGGCCTTATATAGCGTCAGAGTTTATCAAGACTTCGTGGAGAATAGACTGACTAACCCACCTTACACTTAATGACCATACCTTGGCAGTGAGCTGGCAGATAGTATCGCGTCGTCATCGCCCCGCATCCTTGCACCAAAGGGAACTCGAACCAGAACACACTAACGTCACAAGACCTTATCTAGTACCAGAGATTATCAAGAGTTTGTAGAGAACAGAATGACAGACTCACCTTGGACCTAACGACCATATCTCAGCAGTAAGCTGGCGGATGGTATCGCGTCGTCATCGCCCCACATCCTTGCACCGAAGGGAGCTCGATCCAGAACACGCTAATGTCGCAAGACCTTATCTAGCGCCAGAGTGCATCAACAGTTTGTGGAGAATGGACTGACTGACTCACCTTGCACCTAACGACCATATCTCGGCAGTGAGCTGGCAGATGATACCGCATCGTCATCGCCCCGCATCCATGTACTGAAGGGAACTCGGTCCAGAACACGCTAACGTCACAAGACCTTATCTACTGCCAGAGTTTATTAAGATTTTGTGGAGAATGGAATGACTGACTCACCTTGCACCTCACGACCATACCTTAGCAGTAAGCTGGCGGATAGTACCGCATTGTCATCGTTCCGCATCCTTGTACCAAAGGGAACTCGGTCCAAAACAAACTAATGTTGCAAGACTTTACCTAACGCCAACGTCAAGGGAGGATTTGTCGAAGTTCCATTGAAAAGCATAGGTTGCCGGTGATAAGCGGATTGAAACTGCATTATAATCGCTTTACACATTTGGGCCGTTGGCAGCTTTGATCCAAAGCAGTCCGGCCATATAAAAAATTATCTGATGTTAGCATTCATCTAGAGATTGCGCAACAGCCAAAGGTCACATACCACGACCAGGGCATGGCAGAATGATAGTGTATCACCGCTAGTGCTCAACTAGGTGACTGTGGTGACTTTGGGCAACTTAATAATTCATTCTCACGGCTGGTGGGTATTGCAATCTGTTGACAAAATGGCAGATAATTGCAACGAGACTGCACAAATGTGCATTTGGTGGTTTTCTATCCAACGTAGTCCGGGTATTCAAAGCTCTGTCATTTGAAGTACAATTGTGATATATATTGTACGAATTTTACTTTAAATAAACCTTTCTAACACTTTACCATTTTCGCGTCGCTTTCCTGATGGAGTCAGAAACGTTTTGACCCTAACCCTAAAATATACAAAGGGTCGGTGAAATACCAAACACTAAGATCTACATGGCAGACTCCATTCACTGTCCACTTAGTTGAGGAGCGTCGATACGGCGCTGCTATAGCAAGAACATTTGAATAAGAATCGAATATATGATGCGCTGTTCCAACACTGATCGAATATGTGTGTCCTACAAGTGATTTCCCACGCATCCGATGACCGCCTGTGACCAGCACTGAGTACTGAGCAGGCAGCGCAACAGCAAACTTGTCCCCATCACCCCATGATGTCTCTCCCTCGCTCAGACTATGACCCCCGCAGGGTGTGTCTAAACCCATTTCCAGACCTCAACTTGAACTTGGGAAAGCATCGCCGGACTATTGGCATTTACCTCGCGGGTGCTTTGGTCCGTGCGCTTCTTGTATCTCCCTTGCTGACGCTAACTGCATGTCCTTTCCGCAGTTCGCGCTTGCAAACTGGACTTTCCTCGATGCTGCCATCTTGTCTGCGCATGCTCACCCGCCTTATGATGAACCCCAAATCCCGCCTCCCGTGCATGTGCAGTTCGCTGATTGGGTGCCGGGTATCTGCTCGCTCCTTGGCATGGTCATCATCAACTTGATCGACAAGGATAGGATTAGAGGGGACGATTATGGAGATTCTAATGCTGTGTGGAGGGCACGTCTTTTCCTGTTCATCGGATTTGCTTTCATGGCTGGTGGACTGGCGGGGAGCGTGGTAAGTCTTGATGTCTTTTTTTTGACGCTACCCGATGTTCAATGTCTCTTCTAGTCTCTTCTCGTGTTGAAATACATCATGATGGACTACCCCGAGCAGTATACTTACTACGGCTATGCGAACGTGTCGCAGAACGTGGCGTTGATGCTGTCGGCTGTTGTGCTTTGGATTGCACAGAGTGCGCAGACTGAGTATGACTATAGCCTTACGCTTTAGTGACGGATGCGGTTTCGTTGATTTCTTTAGCGTACCTGTGAATATCATATGTACCTTTCTTTTCTGACTTTCTCGCGGGGGTGCAGGTGGGCGGCAACTTGAAAATCGACATTTCGACGGACCACAAATATCGAGTATGCGAGGTCAAACGGACGACCGAGTCCGAGTCCCGCCTCTCATTGGCAGAAGGTTAGCGCTAACGTCCGGCCGGATGTAAGCAATGCGGATGGACTACAAGTCAAAGCAGCCATTCAGGACGAAACAACCGACTTCGACGGGCGCGCATGTTTGTACAGACATTGCCTTGTAACTTTGTAAGTCTCCTATACGCTGTACTCTGTCGGTGACGGTTGCAGAACTCTAGGCGGCATTAGAGACTCAATTGCTCAGCTCCAAATAATTGTCCGCCAGTTTCGGATTGGCTGACTCGAAGTCTTCGACTAGAGTCTTGCTCCGAGAGGCTAGCGACCATGGCCCCGATGTGAGTGTGCACCACCAAAAGCAGTCGCAGCCTGGCGCCTTGAAATGATAGACGATCGCATCATCACATGGTCGTCAGAAAGCTCCAAGCATACTCGAGTGCAGAGTCGTGTTGATGACTCTCAGCTTCAGCAACCCAGTTCAAAGTGATTGAGGCCCACTTGACACGCGACATGGAAAGCCCTGAGTGGGATGCCACGAGGCCAGCCTAAAATTATCTACAGCAAGAGGGTTGAGCTGCACTCGGTGCGCACAGAGTAATGGCCTCCTCGACACCTTTATTGTAACTCAACGAAATCAGTGGACACAAGGGGAATTTCAGCTAGCAGTGACATGGGTTGAGTCATGGCGTAGTTGTTCGCTTCCACTTCCATAGTAGAGGCCTGTATACTCATCAGGTTCCTCAAGAT